TGTGGTGTATATATTTGTAGGTGTTCATGTGTAGGTACATGTGTGAATGCATGCACACAAATGTGGAGGCCAGAGGTTGAAGTCAGGTGTCTTTATCACTCTCCCCCTTATGTTTTTAATATTTTATTATTATTCATTCATTCATTCATTTATTTGTTTATTGGTCTTTTTGAAACAGGGTCTCCCTGTAGCCATGGAACTCACTGTGTAGACCAGGCTGGCCTTGAACTCACAGAGATCCACCTGCCTCTGCCTCCCGAGTGCTGGGATTAAAGGCGTGCGCCACCAGGCCCAGCCCTATTTTGTTTTTTAAATGTTACTCTCAGATTTGAGAACTTGAAAATTCTATGACCATTATCCTAGAGAATATGAACCAAGGATGACCTTGAACTCCTGATACTCCTGCCTCCATCTCTCAAGCACTGGGATTACAGATGTGCTCCATCATGCTCAGCATATTTACTTATCTTTAAATTAACAATGACACTCACATCAGTGCTTTACATGTAATAGTTTATCTTTGCAGTGACCCTGCATCAGGATTCTCCAGCAAAACAGAATCAATTGAATAGATGGATGGATGACTAGGTAAGTAGCTAAGCTGGTAGGTAGGTAGGTAGGTAGATGACAGATAGATAGATAGATAGATAGATAGATAGATAGATAGATAGATAGATGATTTATAAGGAATTGGCTCACATGATTATAGAGACTGACCATCACTACTCAATCCCCTATACTGTCCTGGGGGTCAAGTAATTACAGACGAGGGAAAAGGAACCTAAGCCTAAAGTTATGCGTACATCCAGAACCCTCCCTAAGTGTTTCCAAATTGAGACCCTTTGCCATAGGGCTCAAGCCTGGGTCAGTGCAGGAGCTGTTGGCAACATGGGGCCTCACAATTTGTTGAACAAATAAATGAACCCTGAACATGATTTCAACTAAGGTTGCCATGTGCTCAGGCTCTTCTAGGAGATGATTGGGCCCAGGCCTTGTGCAGAAGGTGCTCATTGAATGGATACATGAGTACTGTACCTGTCAGTCCCTCAAGGTCAAGAGTATGAGCCTTAGATTCTTGCCTCTTGTGGCTCACTCATGGGACAAGCCCTTGGAGTAACTAGTGACAGATCCAGAATTAAGATGCCCCAATCATGGTGGTCATGACATATAGAATAAGTCTGGAACTGAGCCCTGCTCTGCCTCTTCCTAAGATGTATGACCTTGTCCAAGTCATGAACTACTTTTGCGTCTAATTGTCACCTGAGAGTAGGTAAAAACAACCCCTATCTCATAGGGTTTTTAAGAAGGTAAGAAGGGCTGGAAAGATGGTTCAGTTAAGAGCACTGGCTGCTCTTGCAGAGGACCCAGGTTCTATTCCCAGCACCCACGTGGTAGCTAACAACTATCTGTAACTCCAGTTCCAGGGGAATCTGAAGCTTTCTTCTGACCTCTGCTGGCATTGTACGACACAGGTCACTTATGTACATTCAGGCAATACACTCATATACATAAAATAAAAATAATAAATGAAACCGGGTGTGGTGGCGCACGTCTTTAGTTCCAGCACTCAGGAGGCAGAGGCAGGTGGAGCTCTGTGAGTTCAAGGCCAGCCTGGTCTACATAGTGAGTTCCAGGACAGCTGGGGCTACAGGGAGACCCTGCCTCAAAAAGACCAAAAAAAAATTAATAAAATAAATACAAATAACATAAAAAAGAAGTTGAAAATATTGGAATAAGCATATTTTTGCTCATGATAAAGTAGTGGCTGTTATTATTTTGGCTTTGATGTGGGGATACAGAGCCTTGCAGCTGAACATTAGGATTCCTCAGAAAACAACCTGCTGATGTAAGACTTTGGGCACTTTTCTCTAAGCACCCCCATCTCGGGTTGGGGTGTCTCCAGCAGTCCAGCTGATGTCACACTGAAGACATTGGAGGCTGGCATCCAGCCAAAGCACCCTTAAATGACAGAAATTGCTCTTTGAAGGATATCTGGTACTTTACCAAAAGCTTGAGCTAGTACAGTCTCCAGACCTCTTGCCAGCTAATTCATTTGAGGCAAGACAGGGTAATCCAACTGGCTTCAGTTCCTCATCCACAAAATGAGAGCATTATTAACAGTGGTTAAGCTGTCAGAGCAGCTCACTGGAAACTTCAGGGGTGTGGAAACTAACATTTGTTCAGCCTTTATTGTGGTCTAGGAACTGCACTACATGATTAACAGACATGATTTCATTGTTGTTCTTTTTAAAAAGATATTTATTTATTTATTATCTTTTTTTTTTTTCTTTTGGTCTTTTTTGAGACAGGGTCTCCCTGTAGCCCCAGCTGTCCTGGAACTCGTTATGTAAACCAGGTTGGCTTTGAACTCAAAGAGATCCGCCTGCCTCTGCCTCCCAAGTGCTAGGACTACAGGTGTGCACCACCACGCCTGGCTAAGATTTATTTATTCTAATTTTGTGCGGATGAGTGTTTTGCCAGGGCTTCCCCTGGAACTGGAGTTGTAGATGGTTGCTAGCTGCCAAATAGGTGCTGGGAACTGAATCCAGGTCCTCTGTAGGAGCAGCCAGTGCTCTTAACTGCTGAACTGTCTTTCTGGCCCCTTATTGTAGTTCTTGTAACAAACTTGTTTTTGTTTTTTAATTAATTAATTATTTATTTATTTTATGTGTATGGGTGTCTTGCCTGCATGTATGTAAGTGTACCATGTGCATGCAATCCTCACAGAGGTCAGGAGAGGGAGTCAGATTCCCTGGAACTGGAGTTAAGAATGGTTGTTAACTGCCCCCCCGCCCTTTTTTTTTGGTCTTTTTGAGACAGGGTCTCCCTGTAGCCTCAGCTGTCCTGGAACTCACTGTGTAGACCAGGCTGGCCTTGAACTCACAGAGATCCACCTGCTTCTGCCTCCATCTCCCAAGTGCTGGGATCACTGGTATGTGCCACCATGTCTAGCTGGTTCAGTCTTTTAATCTTAATTTTACAAATGAGGAAACATGCTACATGATTGTCTGGGGGGAATGTGTCAGGTAGCTGGCAAGAGGCAAAGCAAGAAATCTTAGTCTCCCTATTGTTAGTCAAGGGGCAGCCTAGCCCAGATACCACCAATCACCTTCACACCCCCACCCCCACCCACACCCACACCCACACCTAAATGATCCAGGGGTTGAATCCCCATAAGCACCAGTGAGTCTGAGAGCCACTGGATTCTGCTTTTGATTCTGAGATTGTCTATCTGCTTCATACCAGAGCCTGACTTTTTGTTTGCTAATCTCAGAGTAGCAAAGAGGGAGAAGGCAGCTACACAGGGTTGAAGAACTCTTGAAAGCGCAGGAGCATTTGTTCCCCTTCCTGAAAGCTGAGGTAGTAGAAACTACCAGACGTCATGTAAGACATAACAGACAAGAGCCTGGCGTGGTGGGGCACGCCTGTAATCCCAGCACTTGGGAGGCAGAGGTAGAAGGATCTCTGTGAGTTCAAGGCCAACCTGGTCTACAAAGTGAGTTCCAGGCCAGCCCCCACTACAGGGAGACCCTGTCTCAAAAACACCAGCATAAACAACATAGTTTTAAATTCAAAAACACACACACACACACACACACACACACACACACACAAAGACACAACAGACTTGGGAGTCAGAGCCGCCCCCTTGACAGCTTAATCTCTGAGCTTCAGTTGCATATCTATCAAATGGGCACACTAAGATCAATGTTGCAGGATTATTTTGTGAATTAAATAAGTAAACACAGCACTGGATTCTGGTACCTCTTGGCACCTGCCATAGTATCTTTAAATGTTTAAAGTGCGTCTCACTGTTACATCCCTAGTTCCTAAGGGTATGTCTGGCACAAATGTTTGTGGAAGAGATAACATTTGTAAAGATATAGTCTGCCAAGCTCACAGCTGATCTGCAATAAATTAAATATACATACACATGCGTGTGCATAAAATGAAGAGAAGGAAAGAGGGAAACTGTTCTCTGGCAGGTAGAGTTGTGTAGGATGAACACTATTTGGAATCAGAAGTTCTGGATTCAAATCCAGCCTGACCATTTTTAGCTCTGAGGCAGCACCATGGATTCTTACAGATGACCTGTTTGGTGAATCTCTCTTTTTCCTTGGACCTCTAAGGAAACTCAGTTCTCTTCTAGAAAGATCCCTGACATAGAGGCTGTCTAGGATGGAATTCTACTAGGCTCCCCTGTAGTTTTCAAGTGGGCCTGGACGTTAGGACTTCTGTGTTTAATCTCGGATTGTCCAATTTTAGCAAGGATCTTGCTAAGCTGGTTTAACTAGAACCCCCTAACTTCCATCTCTGACCGTCATCAATATTTTCTCAGGGTCCTCATCCTCCTATTGGTCCCCAAGTGATGTCCCCGGGAAGGACCCTGGCCTGTCTTCAAGAATCCTGTTAGGTGGGTTTGGCTTCATTTTCTGTCCATCGACTCTGCCTTGCTCCTTTGCTATAAATTCCCGGTTGCTCATGCTGAATTCAGGGCTGAGCCAAGTATCTCTGCACAGCGGCAAAATCCCACTGCAGTGGTCCGTGCGTTCACCTGACGCCCCCTCCCTTGTCCCCCCTTAAATAAAGTCTGCCTGACTTTCTTGAACGTGTCATTGAAATTTGTCTTCCTTTAATTTCCCATATATAATATCCTAACTAAATGAGATATTGATTCGGTGCTCGTCCACGAAAAGGGCACAACGCAACCACGGTCTTGAAGGGAACCCTTCAAAAAAGCACCTAACCAGAGGCGAGGGGTGTGCTTTTTGCTAGGATGGGGAAAGGCAGGGGCTTTGGGTTGGTCCAGCATCCGCACAGAATTGCAGAACTGCTAGAAGAAAAGCCCGGAAAAGGAAGGGACATGTAAAGGAACATAAAGGTGAATTCCAGACATGAGCCTTCCACCGGGAAGGGGGGCTTCCCGACTCCCCGCCCCCTTCTTCCCAGGTGCGCAGCCCGTACCGCCCACCTCCTGCGCGGGCGAGCGAGGAGGAGCTGCGCGCTCTAGGACCCGAGGAGGACCGAGCTGTCGGGAGACCGAGCCTCGTCGGGTGCTGCCGCGAGCGGCCGGCCGAGGGGGCTGGAAATGAAAGTAAAGCGCTCCGGAGCCACATGGACCGAGCTGCCGGGGCGGCGGCGCCGGGAGCAGGATGCGGCCGCCCGTAATTAAATAGCATTTACTCTTATTATTACTAATAATAATAACGTAATCATACCTCTAGTCATAGCATACCATTTATCGGGCTCGGCGCAGGCCCGCGGGGAGCGCAGCCCGGCCGAGGTGAGTGCTTGCAGCGGCCGGAGCCCCGCGGGGCAGAGGACGGGTTCCCCGGTCCCGGGCGGAGTGTGAGGGTTGCGGCGCCGGGGCCGCGCCGGGCCGGGGAAGACGCGCGGGAAGCCGGGATCAGGCCGGAGCGCGCGGCCGGGAGAGGCGGCTGCAGCGGCTGGGCAGCGGCGCCCGAACCGCATCACTCCCTTTGCGGGGTCTCCCCTCTCCGGGTCCGCGTACCCCTGCCCCAAAGTTTCAAAGTTATGGTGTGTCTGGGCACCTGCCGCCGGGGAGATGGGGTCCCCCCCGCACCCCAGGCGATGCCTTGGGGTCTCCTCCGGGTCTGGGGCTTTGGGGGTTCACGGATACTTTGCTGATTCTATTGCAAGAAGGGGGGTCTGCGACAGGCAAGGCGGGTGTCCCCCCTCCTTTTGTGTTCGCAGCGCCTGGAGTTGGAGGGGCCGCGGAAAGGGCCGGGGACGATGGCCGGCTGATGGGTCGCCCCTGTCGGTTGCAGCGGCCACGCGAGTCCGGGGATCCTGGGCCTGCGGGCCGGGCCCTGGGGGAGGGGGCGGCAGGAAAGGGGGGCGCGGTCTGGGTCTGCTGAGCAGGAGGGCATTTCCGGTGCTGGCATCCGTCTCTGGGCTCGGAGGCCTGCTAGGTAGCCAGTAGCCAGGCTTCGAGATTTGTGGAGATTGTGGGGCTCGCGGGCTGTGGTGCTTGGGGGGGCTCCCAAGCAGGGCTGCGGACCCTGGAGATGCTGAACCGACCTAGAACACCCCCTCCTATCCTCCGTGGGCAGAATGCTCCTCTAGGACTCGTTACCCTTTTTTCTCTCCCCTTTTAAGCACTCTTATAAGGTGCTTGGATTGCGGGTCCTTTGCGGAGACAAAGCCATCCACCCCCACCCCCAGGTCGGGGAATCATGTAGCAAGAGTTCATTCTTTATAACAGGATGTTGCGGTGTTCGTGGGGAAGACTGGGCTCGCTGGAGCCACCAATGAGTTTAGAGGGTTCTGGAGGGGCCTGGGTCTCCAGCGTGGGTGTGGAGGGCCCACACTCAGGGTGATTGGGGATTTATTTTATCCCCTGGTTGCTAGTTGGGAACCCCCAACTCCTTGCCATTTTCCTCAATGCCTGCAGTTCATCCAGTCTGATGAAAATAGCAGATCCTTGAATTTTTACACAAATGCGATAATTATAGTACATTTAGCAACTATATTGGACACAGCATTCTAGTGGAATCCTTGCCTCTACTACCAAAACTGCCCCCACAGACATACTCTCTGATGCCTTCCCTTCCATCTCCCGTGGAAATCTGCTGCAAGCTAGAAGCCATGTCAGACCCAACCCTGGCTGGAGCAGGTTCCTGGCCCTGTGTGTGTGTGTGTGTGTGTGTGTGTGTGTGTGTGTGAGTATACCCTGATCTGGGCATAGGTGGGCTCATCTCTCCTTCATGACAATTATACTAGGTAGACATTTTTCAATCCTTATTTTTCAGATGAGGAACTCAAAGGAATAGGAATAGAAGAGAGCACCTGGCACCCTCTTCTGGTATCCATGCTTGTGCACAGGTGTGTGCACCCAGGCATGTGTGCATACATTCACATAGACACATAGACAAAAATAAATACATTTCTGAAAAAAAGAAATAGCTTGAAAAAGAAAGAAAAAACATTCAACTCCAGTCAGTGCACTGCAGAAAGAGACAACTTGGAAGGCTGGAAAAGTTCAGGAAGGCTTCATGTAGGGAGTAGAGCTTGGGCTTGAAGTAAGGGGGTACTTAGTGGAGAAAAGGAAGGGAACTCTTGGGTTAGCTCCTATTCTGTGCTAGCAGGCTAGCATATTTTCTCTTTTTAAGAGTTCTTTAGAGCTGGGCTTAGTGGCACACACCTTTAATCCCAGCACTCGGGAGGCAGAGGCAGGCGTATCTCTGTGAGTTCAAGGCCAGACTGGTCTATATAGTGAGTTCCAGGCCAGCTGGGGCTACAGAGAGACCTGGTCTCCAGAGATGGCTCAGCAGTTAAGAACACTGACAGTTCTTACAGAAGACCCGGGTTTGAATCCCAGCACCCATATGGCAGCTAACAACTGTTGGTAACTCCAGTTCCAGGGGATCTGACAGCCTCGTCTGACCTCCAAGGGCACTGCACTACACAGGTGTACTTACCTACATGCAGGCAATACACCCATACACATAAAATAAAAATAATAAATAAAATATTTTAAAAAGATTTCTTTAGCTGGGCATGGTGGCGCACGCCTTTAATCCCAGCTCTTCTTGGGAGGCAGAGACAGGTGGATCTCTGTGAGTTCAAGGCCAGCCTGGTCTACATAGTGAGTTCTAGGACAGCTGGGACTACAGGGAGACCCTGTCTCAAAAAGACTAAAAACAAAACAAAACAAACAAACAAAAAAAGATTTCTTTAATATTTTTAAAATATTTTATTTTTGTTTTACGTGTATGAGTGTATTGCCTATGTGTATGTGAGTGCATCCGTGTCGTGCAGTGCCGTGGAGGTCAGAAGAGGGCTTCGGATTCCCCTGGAACTGGAGTTAAGGACAGTTCATAGCAGCCATGTGGGTGCTGGGAATCAAACCCAGGTCCTCTGCAAGAGCAGTCAGTGCTCTTAATCACTGAGCCATCTCTCCAGCCCCCAAGAGTTCTTTAATATTTAAAAAAATACCTTTTGACTTAAATTCTCTCTAACTGTAGTTCATGAAGAGTGGGCATTTGTGTCTGTATTTCCCTGAAGAATTTGAGGAACTCAAGATTTCCATGGCCACCTCAAGGTCACTTGACTGGCGTCGAACCCAGGACTTTATGATCCTTGAGTGTGCATCTCTGACATGCAGACAAGTGCTAGGACTGGGGAGTCTGAACTGGAAAATGCAATAGGCATGAGGGTTCACTCTGAGAGGTCAGTGGGCTGCTCAAGGCCAGAGTTCTACTGAAGGGGCTCTGTGCCCCCTTGCCCAGTCAAAAAGACTGAATGGTTGTAGAAGGGGGCTAGTTCTGCGTGTGGAAATCTGAGTAAATTCAGTTCCTTAGTTGCTGTTAGGGGCCCATTTACCATCCTGGAAGAGCTTGGAATTTGGGCACAAGATGGATATGGACCATTAACCTGAACTTCCCAAGGACAGGAACTGGCTCTGATTCACCCTCTGCCTCCAGCCCTGGTGGACGTGCCAGGAGGACACGTCTGCTATTATGTTGTCAAACTGAGTTATGCCCCAGTGTGGAGGAGGCAGGCCTATTTTGCCTGGAGTGGAAGGTCTTCCTAGAAGAACTGGTATGTGAATAATGCTTGAAAGATAGGGCAAGAGAGGCCATTCAGAGTGGAGACAAAGATGGACAGTCAGGGGCTTCTGAAGCCTACAGACCAAGACACGTGGCACAGCCATAATTAGGGGGCAGCTGTGAGTTCAGGTTCAAGCCAGGCTCTGTCACATCCTTTCTCTGTTGTCCTTTTGGTCTTCTGAAAGTGAGTCCTAAGAGCATTTGTTTGTTTTTCTTTACCTTTTTTTTTTGAGTTTTGAATTTTGAGATTGGGTCTCACCAAGTCACCCTGGCCTGCCTGGAACTGGCTGTGTCAACCAAGCTGGCCTCAGTCTTGCAGTGTATCTTCTGCCTCTGCCTCTCAAGTGCTGGAATTACGGGCACGTTCTACCATGTTCTGACAAGTCCCGAGAGTCACTGATGATTGAGGGTAACAAGTGAAAGAAGCAAGAAGGCTGAAGAGACAGCTGAGCAGTTAGGAGCGCTTGCTGCTCCTGTAGAAGACCTGAGTTCTGTTCTCAGCATTCACGCCAGGCAGCTCACAACCACCTGTAACTCCAGCTCCAGGGGATCCAGTACCTTCTGTCAGCTTCCTGGGCACCCACACTTATGTGCACATACCCACACACAGACAGACATACATACACATACACAGAATTAAAAATAAGCCAGCCTGGTCTACATAGTGAGTTCCAGGACAGCTGGGGCTACAGGGAGACCCTGTCTCAAAAAGACAAAAAAAAAAAAAAAAATCCTTTTTGAAAAAAAGAAACTAAAAGTGCTTAAAATTTTTTACTAATTTAGCAGCTGCACCCATAAGTGTTTAGTGGTCAAACCCAGGTGTCCTAGATTAGTTTATTTGACCCTCAGAACAGTCCTATAGTAAATTTCCATGATTGTACCCATTTTACTGATAAAAGGGAGGTCAGACACAGAGTTTAGATGACATTGCTAAGTCACAGAGCTGCCAAGCAAGCCCAGTTTGTTTCCAGTAGGGGATCACAAAGGTTGAGGGGAGTGTGTGGTGGGGCCACAGTACAGACCTGAGACCACAGAAGGTGGGGGTGTCCACCCAGGAAGGCTGGCCACAGCCTACCGGGAGGTTCAGCGGGTGATGAAGTGACTTCTATGGCAGCTCCTGGAGCCTGCCCAGAAGCCGGCTCCTTTCATCACCTTTAATGGCCCGTAGCAAACGGGCTTGTTTTCCTTTCTCTGTCAGCACCAGCCACAGGACTCCTTCCCACCTTATTTATTTCCCCTGGTGAGTCTGTCTCTGTGCATGCACCTTGATGGCTTCTGCAGGTGTTAGCGCTGCTTCCCCAGCAGGCTGCGGCCCCCCCGGAGGGAATGTAGCATTTCTGTCTTCAGAACCCATCTTCTCTCTTCAGCACCTTCTAGTTGACTTCAATAACAATTCTTGAGCCCTGTAGCAAAGGCTGGGACACAATGGGAGTAAGGACAGTTGCCACTGTATTTTAATGCCACTGTGTGTCAGCACAGTGTTTGGCACCTTCTGTGCCATCAGGTATCAAATCCACTTAACCTCTCTGTAAAGCAGAATCATTATTAATCACCAGCCCTGTTTTGCAGATGAGGGGATGGAGGCTCAGAGAGGTAAGGAACGCTTCCAGGATCATCCAGCTGAAGTCAGATGGCTACAGGCCTACTGGACTCCAGAGCTTAAAGTCTTTTGTGGGGTCTCATGTAGGCCAGGCTGGTCTCAAAGTCACTG